GGGTCTTCATGCTGTCTCTTTTACCCCTTCATGTCCTCGGCTAACTTCGATTGAATAAATACAGACTACTTCTGTTATATCAGTAACTGCATAATTTGAAAATGTTTGTTATTGAAAGTAATTGAAGAAGATAGACTCTGTTACATCTAAACATGATGCTGTTTTAGCTCCATTCTAATTGAACGCTTTTTCTAATCGACCAGCTGGGTATGGCTGCTAGTATATATCATTTGTTTTTCTTTTTACTCACACTTCATTTCTTCTCCTAGATTTTTGAAAAATATGTTCGTTTTTATTCCAATAATAAAATTCGTACCCGTAAAAAATAATTCAGACAAATTTTCGAGAGATTTCCCCACAGGAAAAATAGTTCAAACGTATATATCCATCTTGTTAATTTCTTGATGTGAGAAAACATTTACGTGTCGTTCATGGCGGATCTACTCTGAAACTAATGAAGCTTAATTTTCAGGAGCCCTGATCCCAGAGGAGCCCATTGAGCAATTGTTTCAAAATTTTGTATCCGATTACCCGTTTGCACTTCTCCCCAATTTTTGGTTCCGATCGGTCAATGTATGATTATTTTAGAGCGTGTAATAGACGGACGGACTAACAGAAGTGACATAATTTTATATGTAGATTTCTATTTGTGTAAGGTATTTATTTGGTTATTAATCCATAAAGATTTACCGTTGCTATTTACTTAACATGCAACTTCGTTTTCTTATTCGGTCTTAGTATTGGTGGAAACTAAAAAAATGTTTCAAATTCTATTCGTGGTCTCAAGGTTAATAAAATATTTTTCCTTACGCTAAATCAGCGTTTCACAACCGGTGAACCTGGGCCACTAGTCCACCCTGAAAGAAAGGTAACCAGGTGTCTAACAAGTTAACAGTTAAATCTTTATTTTTAAAAAGTTAGGCACACCAATCACATAGCTTCTATTTCTAAGTCAAGTCTTTGTCGGTTGATATCTTAAACTGGATACTAAATTCCTTGATCTTTAAGAAAGAGTGGATAATCCTTCATCTTTTGCCCTTTCACCAAAGGATTTAAATCAGTCATTATCGGGTTCTCTGGGAAAAAAATTCAGATTCTTTATGGATACCTTTAAAGAACTATACCGTTAATCTTCTTTGGGAAAGCCAACCATTGAAAGTAATTTTCATCTTTGCCAAAGTACCTCAAGCGGGGGTTTTCACACACGTAGACTTAAATATATAATGTAATATTTTTAAAATAAATGCTTATTTTGGGAGACTTCTTTATTATTTTTAAATTTTCAAATTTCATGACTAATGTTCTCTTATTAAAATTTAAAGTGCACCCCAGAGTTTTAGTTATTCTACAAGTGCGCCCTGAAGTAAAAATGGTTGAGAAACGATGCCCTAAATATTAATCTTGGGTCCCCTACAGTCTTTTATATAAATGTAAAAAAAATGCATATTTTTTTTTTTAGGCCTATAAGACACTTCTGAATAAAGTGTTTCTCTGTTAACGGAAATAAAAAAAATCCTGGCCGCGTAGTATTAAACACGCGATATCAAACATTTGCCACACTTTATTAAATAAATAAGTAGAGTTGTGACACTTTCTGAACGACAGAAATGCGTCTAATGCATCGAAAATAATTAGTGGCCTTCCTCTTGATATATATTTTTTCGTGCTACGTAACGAAGTAACACATTGTTAATTACGCGCGCGCTGTTTACTTTTTATTGGGAGCCTCTAGCAACAATAACAAATCTTTTTTAATTTCCTCAAAACAATAAAGATAAGTTAATTATTCATTTCATTGAGATCTGGAGCAACAAAAAAATCAATTAATACGCATAGAAATTAGTTTAATAGTCTTCTCGCTTTCTATTGAGCTGAAGTAGCCGTTTTTTCGAGTTTTATTATATGAAGATATTTAGAACATTTTATAGGCTATTTGTAACGAGTTGATAGGTGACCGCTTTGGTTTATTGCATTTTTCATCATATCGTCCATTTAATTATCGATACGAACTCGGAAATGTCGACTTGATGATACAGCAATAAATCTACTTACCAACAGGATAGACTCCGGGGATTTATTTATAAGATTAAACATTCATAAATACGTAATAAAATAATTTTATGTTAATGTACATCACATTAATAATACGGGCATTTTATAATGTTACTGCATAATGTTATTGTAATAATAAAGGTTTTTATAATGTTACTGCATATTACTGTAATAATAAAGGTTTTTATAATGTCACTACATATTACTGTAATAATAAGAAAGTTTATACTGTTACTGCATATTACTGTAATAATAAGACATTTTATAAAGTCACTGTATATTACTGTAATAATAAAGGTATTTTATAATGATACTGTACATTATTTTAATAATAAAGTTATTTTATAATATTACTCTCTATTACTGTGATAAAAACATAATTTTACTGAATATTACTGCAATAATAAATGCTTTTTATAATGTTACTGTATATTATTGTAATAACAAAGATATTTTATAATGTTACTCTACATTATTTTTCTTTTATGTACCTGTCCTTTCAGAACTTGGACGATCATGGCTCTCCACAACTTCCTTTGTAGCTCTTACGAATTTTTACTATCTTCTCACTATATATGTTATCCTTTTACACATGCTTTTTAGGTAGGTCACTTGCGTTTTACTCCTTTTTCTTTTGCCTTCAGTATGTCTCGTGAGTGTCAATTCTTCAAGCCTTCTTTTCTCATTATGTGGCCCCCAAACAGCTTCTTAATGATTCTATGTTTAATTTTTGTTTTTATTTTTCCTAAAATGCTCTCTTCATGGCATTATCAGCAGCCTACTGTAGATCCACATCTCTTGCTTCAAGTCTCCTTTCAACTGTGAGGAAATTATCCAGCATTTATTGCGATATAGGAGTATTCATTTACATCTCAGCCTAGCTCTCTTTTCTATGTTTTTAACGAATTTTTCCTGTTTTTTGTTTTATTATATTTTTTTTTAACTTTTACAAATCCAATTTAGACCCCAACAAGGCTAGTGGTGGGGATGGGATACCAACCATTGTCTTGAAGAAATGCGCGCCTGAACTGGCGCCCGACCTCTCTAAACTATATAACTACTTCCTCAAGGAATCTTGTTTTCCTGACTGCTGGAAGTTCTCTTTGATTGTCCCTGTCTTCAAGAACGCTGGCGACCCCTCTGACCCTTCTAATTACCGTCCTATCAGTATCCTACCCGTCTTCGGCAAAGTCTTCGAAGCCCTAATCAATGCCGAAGTGATTAACCACTTTACATCCCATGATCTGCTCTCAGACAAGCAATATGGCTTCCGCTTTGCCCGATCTACAGTTGATGTGCTTACGGCCATCACTGAAACTGTCTACCAAGCTCTTCAAAATAACGGAGAACCTCATGCCGTGGCCCTAGACATCTCCAAAGCGTTTGATAGGGTTTGGCATACCGGCCTTCTTCGCAAGCTCCAGGGCTATGGTATTACGGGTCGAATGTTTGACTTAATACAGTCATTTCTGTCAAACCGTGAACTGAAGGTCGTTCTCAACGGATTCTCCTCCAGTTCCTATCCCACGAATGCAGGTGTTCCTCAAGGCTCCATCCTAGGCCCCACTCTATTCCTTATCTGCATAAATGACCTTCCTGACGCCATAAATTCCCAAGTTGGCATCTACGCGGATAACACCACAATTTACTCCTGCCTTAAAAACAAATCTAGTGTCGCTGACAAAACTAACCTGGCCGTACGTCTCGAAAAGGACCTCCAATTGGTTGTGAACTGGGGCAGGAATTGGCTGGTCAACTTTAATGCCTCAAAAACAAAACTGCTCTCTATTAATCACCACAGAGATCCTTCCCTGCCCTCCATTAGAATGTCTGACGCTCAACGTCTCGAGAGCACCTCTCTGCGGCTGCTCGGTCTCCCGTTGACTGCTGACCTGAGATGGAACAAATACATTGAGTCAATTGCTTCGTCCACTGCAAGGAAAGTTGGCGCCCTGTGCCGCGCCAGGAAATTTTTTCTCCCCGGAATCGATCCTTCAGATCTACAAATCAACAATTTGCCCTTGCATGGAGAATTGCTGCCATATACGGCCTGGAGCCCCTTCTGTTTGCCTTGGGGTTCTTGATAAGATCCAGAGGCGGATATGCAATGTAATTGGCTCTGTTCTGGCATCTCGTCTACAGTCGATCTCCCACAGACGCGCAGTCGCCTCTCTCTGTCTTTTTTACAAATACTTTCATGGTAATTGATCCGAGGAGCTGCATTCGCTGGTTCCCAGACTTCATGAATTCAAGCGCCCTACGAGGCTGGCATCCCGCTCTCACCCTTTCACTGTCGAAACTACTAAATATAGCCGTCTCTTCTGCTCCAATAGCTTCATGTCTCGCAACTCTCGCCTGTGGAATTCCCTTCCCTATTCCTCTTTCCCTGAGAGCTATAATCTCCAACTATTCAAATGTAATGTCAATCGACATCTCCAGTTGCCTTGATCTATCCACTATCCTTCTCCTCATCCTTTCCTCTATCACTCCTATCTGATCTTGCTCCAAATCTTCTGTAACCCCTTGCGTCCTAGTGGTTTCCTCTCTTGCTTGGGGCGAAACACTTAAAAAAAAATCACCTTTAACTATTCTAATGCATCTTCGGATTTCGGTGCCATATTTTCCGTGTCCTCTGTTAACGCTCTTCTCGGTTATTTAAACTTCTGTACATCCTTGATTTTGACATTTCCAATGTGCAGCTCGTATCTTGGGATGTTTCTCTTATTGACAAACATACATTATGTCCTCTTACAATTGAGAGTAGTCCGTTCTTTTCGCTTTCCCTTACTACTTTGTCAAGGAGTTGCTGTAGTTTTCTTTCTGTGTTTTTCATCAGTCCAGTTTCATCCACGTATCTTAAGTTTTTACCTACCAATAATATATCCTAGTAGGATTTCTAGATTTAGTTTGTTTTGTTTTATGGCATATCAACCTCAATGAGTTATTTCATGCCGACGAGATTTTTATTGTTGGTAATATTTTTTGTCTATCTATCTATCTATCTATCTATCTATCTATCTATCTTGGTCTGTTCATGTCTATCTGTCTCGCTTGGTCTCTTCATATCTATCTATCTATCTATCTATCTATCTATCTATCTATCTATTGGTTTGGTTTGTTTTGCTTTATGGCATATCAACCTCAATGGGTTATTTAATGCCGACAAGATTTTTTATTGTTGGCAATATTTTTTGTCTGTCTATCTATCTATCTATCTATCTAGCTAGCTAGCTAGCTAGCTATCTTGGTCTGTTTATGTCTATCTGTCTCTCTTGGTCTCTTCATATCTATCTATCTATCTATTGGTTTGTTTTGTTTTGTTTTGTTTTACGGCATATCAACCTCAATGGGTTATTTAATGCCGACAAGATTTTTATTGCTAGTAATCATTTTTATCTCTCTCTCTCTTGGTCTGTTCATGTCTATCTGTTTCTCTTGGTTTCCTCATATCTATCTATATATTTATCTATCTATCTCAGTATATATTGGTTTGGTTTGTTTTGTTTTACGACATATCAACCTCAGTAGGTTATTTAATGCTGACAAGATTATTATTGCTGATAATATTTTTTATCTATCTGTCTATCTCTCGCTCTCTCTCTCTCTCTCTCTTGGTGTGTTCATTATCTATCTATCTATCTATCTATCTATCTATCTATCTATCTCAGTATATATTGGTTTGGTTTGTTTAGTTTAACGGCATATCAATCTCAATTGGTTATTTTATGCTGACAAGATTTTTATTGATGATATTTTTGTTCAAATATCTATTACCGGTAATTTTTTTATGTCTTTAAAAAATAAATCAAGTTTTTCTAGCCGTTCAAATAGATCTTTATGCCTTACCTTATCAAATGCTTTTGCGTAGTCTATGAAACATAAGTATACGTCCTTCTGTATTTCTAATGTAATCTCTGATATGATTCTGATCATAAATATTGCATTTCTTGTTCCAGTGTTTTTAACAAAACCACATTTTTGGTGTCCTATTTCTGGTTTAATTTTGCTTCGTGCTCGATTCATCAGAATCTGGAGGATAAGCTTAATTATGTGGTGCATTAAGATGGGGCTTAAATTCTTATCTTTTTCTTTTTTGGGTGAAGAGTTAAGAGTGAGAATTAGTATACCATGGCTTTTAAGAAAAGAAAGAAAAAGAAAAGCAAATTAAGAAAAGCAAGGAAGGTTAAAAAAAGAGAGAGAAGAGAAAACGAAAAATAAATTGCTGACTTTCTCCCTTTTCTTCTTCATTTTTCTTTCCCTATTCTCTTTCCTTTATTATTATAACTATTTTTATTTATTTTTCATATAACACGCTTAAAGGCTGCCTAAAACCGAGATAGAAAGAAAAGAATAAAGAACGAACGAAAGAAAGAATGAGAGAAAAGAAAAAAAGAAAGAAAGAATGAAAGAAAAGAATAAAGAAAGAACGAACGAACGAAAGAAAAGAATAAAAGAAAAATGAACGAATGAAAGAAAGAATGTGAAAGAGAGAACAAGTAGAAAAGGGCCAAAGAGGAAAAGAGAGAAGCAAAGTGACAAAGAAGGCAAGATTAATGGCGTCCTGTGTCTACTGAGCCTCGAATATTTTAAAGAGAAAGAGAGACGCAAAAAGAAAAATGAAAGAAAGAGACAAAGAAGAAGTGAAGCAACTTTCTGTGGTTATTGAGCCTCAAATGCTTAAAACAGAGAACGACAGAATAAATGACTGACAGAAAGGAAGAAAAAAAAGAGAGAGAGGAATATAAAGACTAGGAAGAGAGAAGCAAAAAAAAATCAAGTTTCTTGTAACCTAATGTCGTCATAATATTTGGATTATTGATAATATTGCCACGAATATTTGACATTGGTGTCAGACTATATTTCACTCTAAGTAATCATTTGTATCTTAGTGGCTTTATCGCCTTGCTTAGAGTTAAATGATAAAATAAAATGCGATGGTGAGTGATATGGGAATTGTGTTATTGCCATCAACAAGAATATCAATACCATTGTGCGAGAACATCCTTTATATCTTTAAAAAATATTCGTTTCTCATGACCCATTTAATTGTCGGGATGTCAACTATTTCCTTTTCATGTCATTTCTTCAGACAATCGGGGTTACTTGGCCGTTACAATCTCCTCTCCAAGTAACATGCGACAGGATAGACTGTGTTACATGGTACAAGCCGCAAGAAACAATCCTTGATTTGAGTTATTATCGATGGACCACTATCAATCCAACTCGTTTCACCCCAAGCAAGCCATTAAAGTCACTAAGACGGAAGAGGTGATGCATGAGTGTGAGAGAATATGAGAAAAAAAAATTGTTGAGGAGAAAGAGTAATAAAAGGACAGGAATTAAGAAGACAGAAGATAACGATTGACATTGCATTTAAATGTTTGAAGATCGAAGTTGACTTGAAAGCAAGAAGCCGGAAGAGAGTTCCACAAGCGAGAATTACGAAAGAGGAAACTAACAGTATAGAACTTACGGTTACAGCTATCCATTTCAAATGTAAAATGGCGGGAAAAGGAAAATGCGAAACCCCGAAGAAATGGAAATTAAAACACAAAATAAAAATTATAGATGGCATTGAGGAGACAAAGTGATATTAAACCTCCTCAGCTCCGAAGTATCTTTCTCAATTAGGTTTCATCATTTTTTTACGGCTTATCACCCCTTTTCCATGTAATTTAAAGCTAGAAAATACTTTTAGATTGTAAGAATACTTTTTGAGATAATAATAATAATTTAGTGATACTGTTATATAGGAATAAAGTGTCGCTGCCGACACTTGAGTTTGAACATAGATCGCCAGTGAGCAAAGACAGGTGATCCCATTAATGAATTAAGTTGACCACGTGACCATAGAGAAAACGCATATATGGGAGTAGCATGTGTTTAACGCATCTGCATTTCTATTTTATCCTCTATTACTATTCGGATCCTCATTTCTAGTCTATCTTCTATTACGATACGAACCGCTATTCTCTACTCTATTCACTATACTATTTCTCTATTCAGATCAGTATACGGATTACTGTTCTAGCAAGTACTATTAGTGCGAGTATTGTTCGAAGGCGTTTGACACCAGTATTGTTCAACGGCGTTAATATAGTTGTATCTGCGATTAAAAAGTCTCTACTACAACGAGCATTACAAAAGTGGCAACGAGTATTCGTTGACATCACAAAAGTGGCAATGAGTGTTCACTGACAACACAAAAGTGACAACGTGTGTTCGCTGACATCACAAAAGATTTACTAATTAACCCATAGCTGGGGGCGAGGAAATGGATTCGGAGCTTTCCCAAGGGTATTTACACATAAATTGATATAACAAACCCAACTAGAATTGAAACTTGGCTTTCTGATTAACAATTCCGAAACATTATCCATTACACCACCCGCACATCCAAGCTTTCAGCACCTGGTATTCCCAAGCTGTTACACATCTAGTTATTGACCAGGCTCGACGTTGCTTACCTTCGATGATCGTATGGGAACTCAACTCTCCGATTAACAGTTCTGAGCCATTATCCATTACACTAGCCGCACATCCAAGCTTACAGCACCTAGTATTCCCAAGCGGTTACCCAACTAGGTACTGACCAGGCTCGGCGTTGCTTACCTTCAGTGATTGTACAGGAACTCGACTCTCCGGTTAACAAATCCGTGCCTTTATTCATTACACCATCCGCACATTCAAGCTTACAGCACCTGGTATTCCCAAGCGGTTACCCATCTAGGTACTGACCAGGCTTGACGCTGCTTAACTTCGGTGATCATACGGAAACTCGACTCTCCGATTAACACTTCTGAGCCATTATCCATTACACTAGCCGCACATTCAAACTTTCAGCACCTGGTATTCCCAAGCTGTTACCCATTTAGGTACTGATCAAGCTCGATGTTTCTTAACTTCGGTGATCGTACGGGAACTCTACTATCCGGTTAACAGTTCTGAGCCATTATCCATTACACCATCCGCACATCCAAGCTTACAGCACCTGGTATTCCACAGCTGTCACCTAACTAGGTACTGACCAGGCTCGACCTGGCTATTATAAAGTCAGATTGACCTCTGGAGATGGAAAACACCATTAGTGATGTTGGTTTTCTTGATTGAAAACAATAGTTTCCAAACATTCAATTTCAATGTCATAATGCCAATTTTAATGCGTTGGATGTAAATATGTGACCTTGAGGCGGAGGGTGTGCAAAAGTGTAATAATGCCCGGATGGGACGCCATCATCATTAAAATATATTTCTTGATGATAGTTATTGCTGGCTATGAAAAAACTTTTTTTTTCGTCATTAATACGGGAAAATGTCAAAAAGGTTCTATCTTGTTTGTGTAAAATATAATTTAAGTAATTAATTTTGTAAAAAAATCCTTTTCACCGCTTTTAGCATTTCAGTCTCTCTTGTAAGATGACATTTGTTAAATAATAAACATGTTTTCAAAACACGTAGATCAGTGCTATAAAAACGACATGAAGGCAAGACCAATGATGGGTTCAAGATTTGCTGAGTTAATGTAAAAACTACTCTCAGCAACTAATATTATTTAAGTCAATTCACTTCAAGCATGGCGATAATGCCACTAAGACGCAAGGGCCCCTTGGGAGTGAAAGATAATGAAAAGATTTTAAACAGAACCCAATCCCAAACAGGAAAAAAGTATAAACTTCTACATCTGTTCTAAAGATGTGGAGGATGGTGAACAAACGATGGGCAAATATATATATATATATATATATATATATATATATATATATATATATATATATATATATATATTTCAATTAAAAGGTACAATTATAATTTACAAATTCATGAATCATTCATACAAAAAACAAATATAGAGGTTAATGATTTAAATGGCGAGAATACATCGTCGCAAACAATATAAATAAGATACATCAACCCCGAACCTGTATATGAATGATATGATCCCTGTTTATAAATTCCATTTGCATAAGGTCTTTTTAATTTTTTACAAGCTTTCGTCTGTTACTACAGACATCATCAGGTATGGAAGTAGATTTTGCTCTTGTTTTTACTTCTCAGTAATAAGAGGACAACGAAAATAGAGATGTAACTATTTTCTATTTTAAAAATATAGTTCCATCGCTACATAGGAATTACCGTGTTTCAAAACAGAAACTAAAATGTTAAATTATAAAATTAAATTTAAAACCCATAGCTGCGTTCCATTCTGAAGCGATTTTTGGAATAATCTATTAAGAAGTTTACTTCATTTATAAACACAGACAATCTTCTTAATAGATCATTCCATAAATCACTTTAGAATGGAACGGAGCTATGTATTTTAAATTTAATTTTGTAATTAAATTAATATATATATATATATATATATATATATATATATATATATTGAATAATAAAAATTAAAATCTTCAGATACACTGGGTTGTATATTAATATTCTTTCGTTTTTATTATTATTTCATTTAGATTCCTCGACTAGTTGCGGCCAACATGCCATCATCATCATATATATATATATATATATATATATATATATATATATATATATATATATATATAGGCATGTATGTATATATATATATATATATATATATGTATGTATGTATAATAATGATGAAAGCGGAGACTTTAGAAATCCATGTAAATAATTTATTTCACGGGATCAGACAGACCACGTCTCTTCAGACCAAACAATTTTACAACAATAGATGAATTCTAAATTTACCCAAACACAAGCGAAACGTTGTTCAAATATGAGATGAAGATATAGATTTAAAAAAGGTTTTAATATAGGGAAAGGAAAGAGACAGAGGGGATATATATATATATATATATATATATATATATATATATAGAGAGAGAGAGAGAGAGAGAGAGAGAAAGAGAGATGGAAAGAGAAAGATTGGAGAGGGAAAATAAGATAGGGAAAGGGAAGAATATTGTTAAGAAATAAATTTACCATGGATTTATTTCCGTGAAATAAATTATTACCATGGATTTCTAAAGTCTCTGCTTTCATCATTATTATATTTGCTCTGTTCTTACATTTGAGCTCTCTTTGGACCTATATCCTCTTCTTTGGAATTATCCCTACAAATTATCAAATATTATATATATATATATATATATATATATATAAGATATGCAGTTCAAAAAGGTTCTTGAGATTATATCTTATGTGTAGTGCCCCTTCAGAACGTGGACATTGTGATTCCTCATAAGTTTTTGTCCCTTTTAGCGCTAAGCAATATTTATCGCTTGAATATCCCCTTTCTTTTTCTGCTATCCATGTACACATGGTCGTTAGGCAGGATTTACTGTTTCCCTCTACCCTTCTCACCTTCAATAAGTCCTGTGAGCGCCAAGTCCTTATTTCTCATATTTTCCAAAACTTCAACTATTTCTTTCTGATTATATTATCTGAAGTATAATTGTCCTTCCTCTTTGCTTGCAGGGTCAATCAATGACATTCTCAGCTTCTTTCTGTAGAGCCAAATCCCTGTCGCCTCAAGAAAATGGATGATGAGATTAAATATTCATTCGAAGATAGTGAGATGTATTATAAATTTTATACACTGGATTTTTTTCCCCGAAACCTGGAAACAATATCTTAGTTTGCAAAAGATGTGAAATTGTGTACAACGGCCATATTGGAATACAGTTACTTCTTCATTATATTTGAAGAAAAAAAAGATGAAGAAGAAAATGAAAAATGTGGAAAAAAAGAAACTTCCATTAAAAAACAAAAGTAATTTAATCACTTGTAAAAATTTTCCATGCTGTTAAGAGATCACCGATTGTAAGAGGGAAAGACAGAAAAAAAATATTAAGAAAAAGGATTAAAATAATTAGAAATTAATGAGAGATGGAAAAATAAAAATAAAATTTAAAATATAAATGCAAGATAGATTACGTGACTGATCTATGGTTTCTTAATCCAGGGGGACTTTCAAAATGTAAAGCAATCTTTTCGAGAAGTCCAAATCTCGCAGAGTATCATGCAAATCTCGCGGTTCATTTAATTCCTGATGGTGAATGACTTTTATTTTTGATTGAATCAATTAAATTTAACTTTATCCGAACAGTGTCGAATTTTCTCTGTGAGCTCGATCCATAATCGTGTAGAGTTAAGAAGCTTTATCTGTTCGCTGCTTCTTCTATATGCCGTGTCCCTTCAGGACATTGGCGACCATGGATCTCCACGATTTCCTATCCTTTAAAGCTCTTAGTAATTTTTGTCTTTTCGCTATCTCTCCTAATCCCTGCTCTGTCGTCCATTTGCACAAGCTCGTTAGGCAGGTTATGCACCACTTTTCTCTGTTCCTGTTGTCATCAATAGGCCCCGTGAGTGTCAAATTTTCTAAACCCTCTTTCCTCATTATGCGCCCTAGAAATTTCAACTTACGGATTCTAAGTATAAGTAACTTTTTTTTTCGTTTTCTCTAAAGCTTCATTATTGCTCACATATTCAATCCATGGTATTCTCAGCATCCTTCTGTAGAACCACATTTCTGTTGCGTCAAGTCTTCATCTGTAATGAGATTGTCCAGCATTAACTGTCAAATAGGAGGATCGATATTACATAACAGTTTGGTATTCTTTTCTTTGTTTCTAACAATTTTTTCCTATTTCTTAATACTTTGCTTAGGTTTTGGAAGGCATCTTTCGCTACCCCAATGCACCACCAGGTTTCAGTGTCGCATTTTCCGTCCTCTGCTAAAACATTTACTAGATATTAAATTCTTTTTACTTGTTGGTACCTTCAATTTGTTGGTACCTCTAATTTGTTGGTACCTCCAAGTTGTTGGTACCTTTAATTTGTTGGTACCTCCAAGTTGTTGGTACCTTTAATTTGTTGGTACCTCCAAGTTGTTGGTACCTCCAATTTGTAATTTGTTTGTTGGGTTGTTACTTTTGCTGATATCATAAATTCACTCTTCTTATAATTGATGTTTAGTCCTTTTTTTTGGCTTTCCTTAACTACTTTCTGTAAGTATTCTTGTAGTGCCCTTTCTAAAGTCGCGTAAGGCCGAATTTAAAGCCCTTAAACGACGGGAAAACGTTACCTGAATATACACACGAAACAGGTAAAAAACAAGAAAAAATCATTTTTATTCTAACGTGTAGATTTTATGCTTATCTTCGTTTTAATTTTATGTAAAAACGATATTTCCCTTGCTTTATGTTACAAAAAAAAAAAAAAAAGTATTTACGTTATTTACATTGTTCAGACTATTATCCTCATCTTTATTGTCAAATTAACGACGTTTCGACTGTTGTACGGTCCGGCCTGCTTCAAGTCATATACGTTGAAATTTCGAGTCGAACCCTTTATTTCGTAAACCAGCGTAGATTGTTCTAGTTCCACGTGCCACGCCTTTTCAGGATGTCTCAGTTTCAATTATTTTTCTTTAGTAACTCAACTCTCCAAGTTTTTGTTCTGTAGCCAGGTATTGAACTCACAACGTTTTGGGTCACATCACTGGGTTACTTCAACCAACGTTTTTATCCACTGGGCCATGGGTCCTTAAGAAGGCCGAAGTGTACAACGGCCGAAACGCCGTGAATATGACAATAAAGACGAGGACAATAGTCCGAATAATGTAAATAGCGTAAATAGTTAAAATATCTCATCTCAGAAATATAGACAGGTCCTGAAAAGGTCGGTTCGTACAATAGCCGAAACATCGTGAATATGACAATAAAGATGAGGACAAAAGTTCGAACAATCTAAATAGTTAGGGGCCTATACAATACTTATTGGGACGCTTAAAAAGTCAGAAATTGACACTAATCCTCTCCATTTCAACGGAATAAGAAGTTATTTTGTTGCAAGTGACCCTGCAAAGTTAGAAATTATATGTACGCCAATATACGTGTGTGTGAAGCACACACTAATGAAACGTGTGAGATTGCAGACTGATTGT